ACAGATACAGATACAGATACAGATACAGATACAGATACAGATAGACGGATACAGAGCTTTAATGAAGTATAATTGGTATACAGTAAATGGCACATATTTAAAGCTAACACTTGGACAAGTTTTGACGTATGTATACCAGCACAATAGTGAAACCACCAGCACGATGAAGATAGTGAACATATCCATGTCCTGTCAAAAGTTTCCTTGTGTCCCTTTATAATTTCTTTCTCCAACTCATTCCTCACAACCAACTGTCCCTAACTCCAAGTAACCACTGACTGCTGTCTGACATTATAGTCTAGTTTTTCTTTCTAGAATTTTGTATAAATGAGACAATAAAAATGTACTCTTTTTTGATGTGTCTACTTATACTCAGCGTAATTATTTTGATTCTCATCAATGTCGTTGTGTACACTGGGGATATACTCCTTTTTATTACTGAATATTTTATTACACAAATACACTATAATTTTTTTAATTATTCTCCAGGAATGGACATTTGAGTTGTTTCCAACTTGGGGATAATACAAATAAAGCTCCTACAAAGATTCATATACAAGTCTGTGCACAGAAACCTGATTCTTTTTTCTCTTGGGCAAATAACCGAGTGGAATGGCTGGGTCATATAACAGGTGTAGTCAACCTTGTTAAGAAATTGCAAAATAGTTTTCCAAAGTAGTTGTAGCATGTTTTATTTCCACCAGCAATGTATAAAAGTTTTAGTTCCTTCACATCCTTGCTAATGCTTGATGTGGTGCATCTTTTCACTTTAGCCATCCTAATATGCATGTAGTGGTATCTCACTGTGGGTTTAGTTTGCATTTTCTTAATGACTAATAATGTTGAGCAACTTTTCCTGTCCTATTAGCCATCTGTTTATCTTCTTTGGTGAAGTGTGTGTTCAGATCTTTTGTCCATCTTTTATTGGGTTGTTTTCTTATTATTGAGTTTTGAGAGTTCTTTATGTATTCATATAAATCCTTTATGAGATATGTGACTTGCAAATACAGCCTCCCAGTCTATGACATGTCTCTTCATTTTATTAAGATGTTCTTTTGAAGTGAGCTCCAATTTTTTCTTGTTCCTAAGTTAATTGTTGGGGATATAATTTAAACAATGCATTTTGGGTTTCCTAAGAATACCCTCCTCAGGGAATTATAAAGCAAAACAGAAATTTTAAAATAGAATATCAGTTGAAGCAGAATGTGTTGATTTGGCGGGGACGAGTTGATTTGATGTGGACGCGTTTCTGGAGAACGCCCCATCCAGCAAGTGAACCAGTTAAGTGATTCACTTGGTCCCCGTAACTAGGAGACGGTAAGCTTCTGGGCTGGCAATTCCAGTCCAATCTCAGAGTTCAATTTTTTAAACTAACTCTTCTAGGAGATTTTAGACAATTAAATTGATGCATAAAATTAACAGTTACCATTGAAAACAAAAGCGTAAATTCATAAAACAGTTCTTTTAGACCGAATAAGCACTGGTACAAAAAATTTAGAGAAAATGCCTACGTTTGGCAAGGGCTGACTCTGGGTGCCATCCACCTTCTGACTCCATGGCCAACTGCTGGCTCTCTGTCTGTCTCACAGCCAGGCTAGCAAAGGGCCCTGCCTGCTCTGCTGTGTAGACCTCAAATGTATCACATACCTAATTCAACCAGGGTGACTGGTGGGCTTTCCTCAGACAAGGCAGTGACTATGCTAGGTCCTCATGGTGGAATGAGCTCCTCTGTAATCAGAAACATTTCACGTTCATTATCTGATCTAAGCCATAAAAAAATCCATGAAGAAGGCTTTAATATTTTCATGTACTTATTTTTCTGTTCATGTATCTCTTTGGTGTAGAATCTACTCAAATATATCACCCATTTGGGGAGAGGAGTTGATTGCTTTCTTATTGTTGAGTTTTGAGAGTATTTTTAAAAATATATTCTGGATACAAGCCCTTTATCAGATATGTGATTGACAATATTTTCTCCCAGTCAGTGCATGGTCTTTGCATTTTGGGGGTTGGGGGGGCGTGCCCCTAGCGGGAACAGAACCCAGGACTCTCTGGTCTGCAGGCCAACGCTCCAAACGCTGAGCCAAACTGGCCAGGGCGGTCTTTGCATTTTTTAAAGAGTATTTTATGAACAAATCTCTGCATCAGCTGTATCTAAGTACTTGAAAGTGCCTGATGACACCCAAAGGGCTTAAATATCAACTTTGTTAACTGCAAAAACTACCAGACAGATGTACGCTGATGTTACCCTATAATCTCTATGTCCAAATGGTTAGGCAATATTTATGTATTAAATGTAACCCAGATGTTTGCCAGGGCCTCCTAACTGCCTGAGAAATAGATAAAACTGGTCGTCCTCCAATCCGTGGCTTCTGCGTCTTCTCCATGATGTCCTTGGATTCCTTAGCTGGGATGTGGGAATATGATTCTGTTTTTGTGAGTCTACCTTCTGTCCCCACTAATTTGGTTCATGTCTAGATGTCTAGAAATCCTGTGCTTGTCTCCTTACACTATTTCAAATACAGACCCGGACACTCGCTATGATTTCTACATGCATAGGCACTCCATGTGGGGAACCATCACTACTGAGGTTTGGAAGAGATGGAGGAGAGGGTTTCATCATATCACTGCACATAACTTCAAGTTGCACGGGACACACTTTTGTTCTCAAAAATCTCTTATTCACCCCCATGAGACATTTTTCACTGTGATTCTTCTCTACGGAGCATCCCACTCCAGACCACCTGGTGAGTTTCTCTCTATAGCTTTCGTCCTCAGGAACAAACACAAAAACATGCTGCTGGTGTTGTGCTGCCTTTTGCGTTGCTGTATCTACAACATTCAATATTTTTTAAGCAATGACTGCTCTCCTTCCAAGATATTCTGGTGTCCAAATAAATTAATAAATTACACCTTCCTATGTAGCTATCTGTTTAGCATATTTAAATACACATACACTTTGGGTTAGCCTCTCTCATTCTTATTGAAATTATCAGTTATCACTTACTTATCCCTTACTGGTGAAGAACACACTTTGGTATTCTGAAGGGGCCAACATGCTCAGCTGTGACACAATTATTTATGATTCTGCAGAAGGCTCTCCTCTGTTTGTCTGGGCCTGAGCACAGGAGCACAGCCTTTCCAAGGCTGCCCCAGCCTCTCGGTTTCTGGGCCAGTTCAGCCATCTGGCCTGGAGAAGGCGGTGGGCAGTTAGAACCCATTGCCAAAAGAGACTTCTTTAGCATCCTCTTAGTTGTCTAGCTACTGCCTATTACTCTACATTTCTTTGTGCTAATCTTGTCTTTGACTCCCAGGCAAAGGGAAACACAGTTGTGGGGTCATAAAGAGTAAGGAGTTGGAGGGAAAAAGAAGGTTTATTGCTTCACAAGGACCTTGGCTGGCTTGGGATGATGGCAGCAGATCCACCAGGATGGCACTTCTTGGTTCCATAGCCAGTGTGATACCCACTGGAGTCAGAAGGGGGAGTCCTGAGCTCGTTGTCTGCACAATACTTAGTGTCTTCTCTGAAACTCAAAGAAGAGACTTCTTCCCCTCAAGGCTGAATCTCTTAAAGGGAACTCAGACTTCTGTCCTGCTCTAGGAGAAAATGCCTAGATACAAATACAGTCTTATATGAGTCTTCCCTTTGAATTTTTTTTAACCCCCACTCATTAGTTTTGTGACCTTGGGGCAGTTACTAAAGCTCTTGAAACTTAGTTTCCTAACCTGTAAAATAGCAATAATGTAATTGTGTCTACCTGAGGGGTGCTGTGAAGGGGACTAAATCTGTTTGCGCGCATAAGAACTCAGCACAGTACCTGGATGACAGCTGCTCATAACAGAAATAGTCGTAACAATCCAAGAACCCAAGGGATTCAGTACAAAGACAGAAATACAGCCATGCTGCCCACGTGTCCAAAGAGCTTCTAGTAAAACTTGCTTTTCCCAATGTAAGCCCTAGGGAAAGTTTGTGCCCTCTCTATTCCCTGAATTTCTTTTTCTCTAATGCATCCTGGTTTTCAAGTTGGCCTGAAATGACTTAATCCGCTGCCCCTGCCTAGGATTTGGCTCTAGGGAAAATCAGGTAACATTTTCCTGAAATTCTGTATAAACAGAGCAGGGAGACCAGGAGCGGGGTTGCTTTTCTGAAATAAAAGTGGTGCAGGGGGTGGGGTGTCCTAGCCAGAGAGCAGAGTTCTTTCTTCCTCTGGTTCTTGTCCTGGAAGCAGACAGAGACCACAGCTCCCCTAAGAAGCCCATACGTCTTGGCTATCCTCGAAGAGTAAAATACAGGGACTGCTACCGAACAGTGTTATGGAATGCCTGGGACTTCCCACCCTCAGGCTTGGGGGTGGGGGTGGCACATAAAAATCCTGCGGGGTTGGGGTAGTGAGCAGAGCATCCCACAGATAACAGGGATGAGTTTAGGGTGAACACAAGAGACAGTGGTGAACCTGAGAGCCAGTCAAATTCTACCTTTAGGGTTAGAGAGCTTGGGGTACAGAGGAGAAGCAGTAGGCACCCTGATTTAGTCCCAGAGCCACCAGCCTGCCTCTTCCATTTGAATTCTATAGAAGTTCAGGCCACATCTAATCCCAACTAAGATCCAGGTCCCCTTATTTCCTCTTACTTTGTATATTCCATGTGGCTTCCTTGAATTTCAAATTTCTTGAAGACAGGGTCCAGCACTACTTTGCAAGCATATTTCAGAAAGAGCATCTAAATGGCGTCCTATAATTTTTAATGTGAGTGGTTATATAAATCAGGTTGAAATAAAAACTGCCATGTTGACTTTGTTTAAAAAAAAATTTATTTTCCAAGGTAAAAGTATAAATTAAAAAAAATAACTTAATGCATAATTTAATCTAAATAATAAAACTCTTTAACTGTCCTTTCAAAGGCAGTGCATTAGCTGTCAGTCAGTTTGAGGAGACTGGTTGAAGAATGCCCGAGGTCCCCGGCAGCATTGTCCATTCCCAGAGGCACAGGCTGAGAAATCTTCAGTTTTGGAGGAAAACTGTATATCTTTGAAGGAAGGAAAAGTTCCTTAAGAGTTCCACATGGACCACTGTCCAGGCACATCTGCTGTACATCTTGTCACGCAGGTACTGTCTCATCCTATAGTAATATGACCTCAGTTGCATCAGGGTCAGGTTTCCCGGGGTAAAGTTCCCCTCCTTTATGATTTCCATCAGGGCTTCCTCCAAACGATCCATCTGGAAATGGAGTTGCATCCGAAGTTTCGCAACAGTGGTCTCATTCCAGCCAGTGCTAGAGAAATTTTCTTCGAAAATATCAAAGATCTGCAGGAGCATCTCATGGATGACCACTACAGCTTCCACCTTCTTGATCTGCTGTGGTTGTTTAATTTTCTCAGGGACCTTGAAGTCCATCCTGCTCTCCATGCAATGTTCAGGGGCTCCCTCCAACTCACGCAGGAGCTCTGAACAGTTTGCATTGCCCCTCTTTTGTTGGAATTGAAGCAAGTTGTAGTTCGTGGAGAGAGCTGCGATGGGTAACCATAGTAGTAGAGCCATCTGGAGAGTGCACCCATTGGTCATGATGGCAAGAGGAACAGTGTTGCCTGCTACTACCTAGGCACCAAAGCAAAGGCTTCAGGGTTTGCAGAGAGAATGTCCTTGTTCCATGAGTGTGGGCTATTTATATGGCCATCAACCCTTTCTATTTCACAGGAATTTCCCATTTTCAGTTCTCCTTTTCAGTTTTCTTTTGTCATTTATATTTTGCCTAAATTTATTTTTCAATTATAGTTGACATATAATACTCTATTAGTTTCAGATGTACAACATAGTGATTAGACATATGTTTACCTTAGAAAGTGATCACCCCAAAAAGTCGAGTACCCATCTGGCACCATACATAGTACATCATTATTGACTGTGTTCCTAATGTGTACTTTACATCCCTGTGACTATTTTGTAACTGCCAATTTGCACTTTTTAATCCTGTCACCTTTTTCACCCAGCCTCACAATGCCTCTCCCATCTGGAAACCATCCGTATATTCTCGGTATCTATGAGTTTGTTTCTGTTTTATTTGTTCATTGATTTTGCTTTTTAGATTCTACATGTAAGTGAGGTCATATGGTATTTGTCTTTCTCTGTCTGACTTATTTTACTTTCCATAACACCTTCTATCCGAGTCCATCCATACTGTCACAAATGGCAAGATTTCATTCTTTTTTATGGCTGAGTAATATTCCATTGTATATATGTACCACCATTTTTTTTATCCTCACCAGAGGATATTTTTCCACTGATTCTTTTTAGATAGAGTGGGAGGGAGGGAGGGATAGGGAGAGAGAGAGAAACATCGATGTGAGAGAGACACATAGATTGGTTACCTCCCACATGATCCTGACCAGAGCCAGAGATTGAACCCGAAACTGAGGTATGTGCCCTTGACCGGAAATCAAACCTAAGACTCTTTGTTCTACAGGCCAACATTCTAACTGCTGAGTCAAACCGACTAGTGTCATATATCTTTTTGAATGAGTGTTTTAGACTTTTTTGAATCAATAAGCAGAAGTATAATTACTGGGCCATATGGTAGTTCTATTTTTAAATTTTCTAGGAATCTCCATACTGTTTTCTGTAGCGGCTGCACCAATTTACAATCGAACCAGCAGCGCACAAGGATTCCCCTTTCTCCCAAACCTCACCAGCTCTTGCTGTTTGTTAATATATTGATGATAGCCACCCTGACAGGTGTGAGGTGCTATCTCACTGTGGTTTTCATTTGCATTTCCCTGATGGTTAGTAATGTTGAGCACCATTTCATGTTTGTTGGCCATCTGTAAATGGTCCAATCTCAATATTCCCTAGGCCACTTTTTTGTTAGAATGTAATACCTAATTTTCATGAGAGGTATAAGGAAAAAAAATTTTAAATTACAATTTTATATTATGCTTATATAGACAGACATGATATATTTTTAAAGATTTTAATACAAAAATAATAATAATAAATAATAATTATTATGATATAAAGTAATGCTTTTCAATTTTCAGAAAATCTTGCATTATTTTTCTATCTGAATTTACTGAAACCACACTGTGCGCAAGTATCTGTAGCATGCACTGCCGCAGACTGTAATCCTCATTCTCATGGGTCATGCAGTTAAGTAGGGGAAAAGAATATTAATAAAAACAATACGCAAATGTAAAATGCAAAGGTGGCAAGTGTTGCAAAGGAGAAGTTTGTAGTTATGTGGGTTCCTAGGATATGGGAACCTGATGTAGGAGGAGAAGTCAGAGAAGACTGCCTGAGGTAGTGACTCTGGAGCTTAAATTAGAAGAAAAGTAGATGGACTGCCTGTGCAAAGGCTCTGTGGTCAGAGAATCATGGTCAGAACAAGGGACTGGACCAAAGGCCACTGTGATTAACCTTCCAGCCAGAAAATGGCCTAAGACAAGGCCAGAGGGCAGGTGGAAGCCAGATAGTACAAGGATTGTGAGGGCATGCTAAGAAGCTTTTCTTTATCTTAAGAGCAACAGAAGTCATAGAAGGGTTTTACGTGGGGTGGAGTAACTTGATTCAGTTTTGGGGGTGGGGAAATACTCTGTCTACAGTAAGCAATAAGTAATGGAGAGAGAGCAGAATAAATGCAGGTGTGAGAGGCCTCAGTAATTCTGAAGGCACCGAAATAGTCTAGGATATGAGTAATTTTCAGAGAAGCAAGGCACAGCTCCCTTTCAGGAAAGGACATTACACTAAGGAGAAACGGCCAGAAGTGAAATCTAATCTGAGCAAGATAGAAACAATAGAGACAAGGAAAGAGAAGGTCAAACTAGTTAGTGTAAGAGTAACCAGCAACTCAGGAAGCAAGCAGCCGTGCATTTGAACACTGCGCAAAAGCACCAGAAGAGGGAGCGCTAAGATGTTAGAGAAATCACTCCTAACCACGGCTGGCTCCCGGAAAGGAAGCTCCGGTTAAGCCAAACAAAATGGTATTTAGATTGAGTCTCATACAAAGTCATTTTTAGAAAAAGAAGAATAGGAGCAGAACAATATCTCTATGGATAATGAAAATATACCAAGAATACAGTCACACAGAAAAGATAAAAATTTTAGCATAGTGCTTAACAAAGGAGCTTAAAGATATTTTTTAAATTATGTAACAACATAAATCAGAATTATACAAACTCAGAAATGAAGTAATATATGTAGAAAATAATTGGAAATAAAAGAAAAAACTCTAAATTTTGTTGAATAAAATACAGTAACAAAAAATGAGAAGTTTGGGAGAACTCTGGCTCTGGAGAAAACCTTTGATCTGGGAAAACATATTAGCAACTAGAATCCAACAGTACATTAAAAATAGTATATGTTGACCAAGGGAGTTATTTTAAGGAAACTGAAGATGTTTTCAATAGTGTATGGTCCATATAACATTATATGGAGCAGATTACAAGGTAAAATGAACAAAATCTAGGAAAAAACTTGGAGATTTAAAAATATATATATTAGAGTAAGGAAGATATAAAACCCAGGAACTATAATTAATATGACTATAAACAAGTTATATAGTTTAGTATGGCAAAAACATAAAGACAAAGAGGAAGAGCAATATAAAAATATACATATATGCCTCGGCCGATTTGGCTCAGCAGTTAGAGCATCGGCCTACGGACTAAAAGGTCCCAGCTTCAATTCCCAGTCAAGGGCACGTACTTGGGTTTCAGGTTCAATCCCCAGCCCTGGTCAGGATTGTGCCAGAGGCAAGCAATTGATGTGTCTCTCTCACATTGATGTTTCTCTCTCCATCCCCTTTCCTCTCTCCCTTTCATTCTATCTAAAAAAAATCAATGAAAAAATATCCTTGGGTGAGGATTAACAGTAACAATAATAATAAATATTTGTAGTTATAACCCACAGTGAGGAATGGATACTTTTCTTCACTTAAAAATAGGTCCTAAAATTAATAGGACACTATCCAATAGAAAAATTTATGAATGGCCACATACCAGGAAAATAAATATAAGGAGCCAATAAAGATATAAAAATCTGCTCCATGTTACTAAAAATGTATCAAATTAGTAATGAGATAGCCACCTTTCACCAATAAGATTTGCAAAGGGCATGGGGAAATGGTATTCTAATCATGCTCAATTAAAGTATAAATTTACTGCCCTGGCCAGTTTATCTCAGCAGTTAGAGACATCTGGGTTCGGTTCCCGCTAAGGGCAGGTACCTCAGTTGCAGATTGTCCCTTGCCCCGGTTGGGGTCATGTGGGTGGCAACCAGTCAATGTGTCCCTCTCACACTGATGTTTCTCTCTCTCTCTCTTCCTCCCTCTCTCCCTCCTGCTCTATCTGTGGATGAATGCAAAAAATCCTCAGGTGAGGATAAAAAAAAAATAAAAAAAAGGATAAATTTATGCAGTTTTTGGAGCATGAGAAAGATCAGCCAGAACAATATCTCCCATCCCATGTGATCATCTCAGTGTAACTTTGACTCTGCCAATTGAAAGGTGGGGTCTGTGTGCCTCCGCTGGAATCTGGGCAAAAGTCTCTGGTAGAGCAATGGTGTAGAACTTTGGAGGCTGTCTCGGGGAAGATGATGCAGCGTCTGCCTTGTCCGTTGGAATTCTTGCTCTGGAAGCCAGAAGCCACCATGTGAATGGTCTGACTGCCCCAAACCTGCCATGCTGTGAGAAAGCGCAAAATAGCTCACAAGGAGAGACCACATACTCACTGGCAACGTATTTCAAATTTTTTAATTTCAAGCAATAGAATTTTCCCTTTAACTTGCAAAATCAATGCTATAAATTTACCTATAGATATTCCTGCAGAAGTATATTTATATGTATGTATGTATATTATACATTATATATTACACAAATATATATGAATCTTCATTACAGTACTGTCATAGTAAAAAATACAAATTAAATATCCATCAGTAAGGAATTGGTTAATTAATATGGTACAGACTAAAATGGAATACTACATAGACATTAAAAGGGAAGTCAGCTGATACAGACCTATATCTGGGATATATTTAATAAAAATCAATACATATAATAACGTATATGGCATTATCATTAGTTTTATACATTTTTTCTCATTATTTTTTATGTAATTAATTTATTTTTGTTACAGATGTTTCTCCTGTTTCCCCCATTGACACCCTCCTCCCATTCCTGGCCTCCCCCCCAGCATTGTTGTCTATGTCCATTGGTTAGGCTCATATGCATAAGTTCTTTGGTTTATTTCTTCCCTTCCCCCACCCCCTCCTCTGAAGTTTGTCAGTCTGAACCATACTTCTATGTCTCTGGGTCTTTTTGTTTTATAACTGAATAGAAAGATACACATGCGTATGCTGATACCCAGTCATAATTTTTTCGCTGGGCACATGATTCCTCTATTAACATTAGTTCCCTAGTGGAGAATGCGGACAGGTGAGGATGCATCACAGAGGAAAAGTTTTTGCCTTTTCACTGTGTACCTTAGAATTGTTTGTACAAGGCTTTTCCCCATACGAAGAAGATGTACGAGAGAGAGGATTATTAGGCATTTAGAGTTTAGTGCACTTTTTTG